CTGCAGTACTAGGGTTAGGACTCAACACACTGTCTCGGGGGCAGGGGACATAATGTAACCCATAACAGAGGGCATCTTCATGCTGTTCATGGGAGGCCTGAACCCATTTCCACACGAAAGAGTGGATCCTAGTGGGTTTAGTCAACCATGGAGGGATGGGGGAAGGCGAAGGGATCCATGCGTTCCTCCCAGGGAGCCGAGGGGAAGGATGCTGGTCAAACTGGTTTCTTAGATAAAAAGAGACTTAGAGGAAGAGATGCTTCTCCCTCTGTCCACAAGCCTTCCTGGGGCAGCCTTCTTGGAACCATGAGGAGAGCTGGGCCAACACCTGGGCATGGAACTGCAAAAACAGGAAAAGAATCCAGAGAATCCACGTCTTCAACGTTGTTCTTGAGGCTCCGAATACATGAAACTGGAGACTCCCTTCCCCGAGCCATGTTGCTACGTGAGATGATTTCTCTTCCTTATTGCTTAAGCCAATGTGAAATGTCACCAGTGCTTACCAGAACTCCGGTTAGAAACTGTCCTACAAGAAGGCAGGAGGAAGACTCTGACGGGCCTTCCGGAAGAGGCTGAGCCTGCCCTTGCCCGCCCGCTCTCAGACCCATTCCCCACTCCCACTGCGGCTCTGCTGTTTCTCTGGTGGAGTGGACCGGGCTGGCCTCGGAAAATTACACTGACCAGGGTCTTGCCAACAGGCTTCCGACTGGGAAGCGCTAGTGGGAGCTGGGAGGATGGGCGGAGGGGAGAGCTGGCTCCTGTCCCTTCTCTCTGTCTCCCTCCCTCTCTCTTGGCTTCCCAGCCTCCCCAGCACTAGCTGCTTCCCCTTGGTGGTCAGTGGGTCTCTCTGTGGTGCCAGTTCCACTGGACAGCCCACAGATGGCTGCCATGCTGCTGAGGACCCTCATCCCCGCTCGTCCCCAGTCCTCTGAGTGACAGTGGCTTCCTGCAGCTGTAAGATATGTCATCTCTGTAACTAGCTCCCTTGCTAAATTCCCTCTGCTGAACTGCCTGCCTGGGCCCTGAGCCATACAGGGCATGGAATGCCAAAGCAAAACATTCTGTGCCCATATGTGGAGGCCGACCTGCCCTCTTCGTTGGTGGGGCCCTGCTGTCAGCCAGGATTTGGATGGACTGATAGAGGCCAGAGCTGGACAAAGTAGCAGCCCCTGGGGGTGAGATGCTGCTCCCCAGTGACCCCTCCTCTGCTCTCCCCTTCACAGCCCTCAGTCCTCTCACAGAGGAAAGCTGGGCTCATGGGCGGGAGCCTCCCTCGGTGCCCACAGGTCTTATTCTTGCCCTGGGTGCTGCAGGCCCCTCCCTAACTCGAGCCCTGGATGAGCCTTTCCAAGCCCAGGCCCCTGCTTCCTCAGTTGCGTCCATCTCCTTTGTCTGTGTGACCACTATCCCAGGGGACCAGAACCTAGAAAGCACAAGCCTGGGGCAGCCTCCCCTCTGGACCATGAGATCCTGGAGCACAGGGACCTCCTCGGCCTCCCCTCCTTCTCCCTGGCACCTGGCAGGGGCGCTGGCACAGAGCAAGTGCTCACAGTTGTTGGAACAGAGACAGGGAGCACTGCCCTCAGGGCACTCCACCCCTTGGAAGGCCTGCAAGGCTCGGTGTGGCAGACCCCAGCCACAGGCCCTTTGAATGGTCCCGCCTCTGACTTGGCAGGGATGCAGAGCTCACACTGCCCCTGGGCAGAGCACTCACCTTCCAGAAGACCCAGGTTGTGCAAGGGCCCTCTGCATGCTGCTCCCTGTCACGAGAGGAAAAAATCTTGCAGGCGCTGGGGCTTCCCAGAGGTGGGGCCCCACCAGGGTGAGGCTCTAGCAAAAATGGGGCAGTGGCAAAGCCCAGCAGAGGCGCTGCAGTCAGAGGGAGTCACCAGGAACTTAGAAAATAAAACAAAAGAGGCAGTTTCCTTAGGCACTGGGTAAAAGCGAGGCTTCTCTTGGCTCTTATCAATTCCCTGCTGGTCCCCAGGAACCCAGCCCAGCCATCGAGGGTCCTCCCTTGTCCCACCTGTCACTTGCATACAGGAGGAAGCAGACACCTATGGAATGAATCAACAAACACCTGACCAAAGGCAGAACACCCAGGGTCTTTTGTTCCTCTAATTGTAGATAGCACGTGGGAAGCAATTCTCCTGAGCTAATCACTGGTACAGCAACCACAAAGGACGATGGTTCAGCACAGCCTCACTTTCTTTCTTTTTTCCCCAATAGCCCACAGGTGCTATGAAACCCAGTTTCAACTTGACAATAGTGAATGACTTTGTGTGCCAGGAATCGGGCTAGAAACCAAACATATGGAGAGAAGAAAACCATGGTCCTGATTTCAAAGGGAGAGTTGCGGGGAGGGGAAGGCAGGAAACAAAGGTGCCCACATCACGTGACCCACGTTATGCTGGCAGGAGCAGGGTCCGTGGAACATCAGTGGCTCAGGGAGCTAGAGTGGCAGAAGAGGCTGGGAGGGTAGGCAGGGTAGGGCAGGCCTCAGAGGGCCCTGGATGCCAGGCTAAGGGGTTTGGACTTGACTCTGTGGACCAAGGGCCACCAGTGAAGGGCTTGAAACAGACAAGCCAAGTAGGCAGATGGCAAAGCTTCCGTCCACATGTCAGATGGCATGTCTGAATGCTGACACCGTACAGGTTTAATAGGACTCTGACTTCTGCCCACTGAAAAAGACAAGGCCGTGGGAAGCAAAATAATTATAGACATCACTTTCCCTATGAAAATGAACTCTTCCAGGCCAGGCACGGCAGCTCACACCTGTAATCCCAACACTTTGGGAGGCTGAGGAGGGCAGATCATTTGAGGTCGGGAATTTGAGACCAGCCTGGCCAACATGGCAAAAACCCATCTCTACTAAAAATACAAAAAATTAGCCAGGAGTGGTGGTGCACGCCTGTAGTCCCAGCTACTCAGGAGGCTGAGGCACGAGAATCATTTGAACCCAGGAGGCGGAGGTTGCAGTGAGCTGAGATCGCGCTACTGCACTCCAGCCTGGGTGACACAGTAAGACTGCGTCTCAAAATAAATAAATAAAAAAGAACTCTTCCAAACTCTCAGCCTCCAGACAAGGGCCCCCTCTTCTCTGCAACTGTGTGTGCCCACTAACCTGCTCCAGGGCACTTCTGGGCTCCCGAAGGCCCTGGCCCAGTTCCTCCTATTTGGCTCCTGTCCCAGCAGCTTCCCAGTGAGCCACACCAGGGCCGGGGCAAGGTAGGGCTGTGATGTAACACTTTATAAAACAAACATCCTGGGACTTCCACTTACACATGGGCGTCCTCTGCTTCCAGCAGATTCTTTTGGAGGAGCTCCACTTCTCTGATGATGCCACCATTGCTCAGAGGAAGGAGGGCCTCCCTGAAAGCTGCTTTCTATGCCTCAGGCACGCCATTTGGATTATGGGCAGAGATGGCACACTTTCCACCTTGGAGGGTGGATTGGGTTTTTCGGAAACACCTAATACCATTCAAAGGGCAAGGTTAAAGGACTGCTGAGTGATTGAGCTAAGGAAAACTGTTTTTGGCCAAGCATCCAGATGGGACTAGAGCATCTGTCACTGCTCCCCATTACCCAGGTATCCTGAGTTATGGCATCCTTGCCAGGGCAGATGCTAACCTCCCAAAGCTCTCATGGGACTGGAGGTCATGAGCCTCACTCCACAGTCCACTGTTCTATGCTCCTGGAAGAAGTCTGGTGAAGTAGAGCACAACCATGGACATGTAAGCAGAGCCCAAACCCATTTTCCAGAAAGCTCTCAATGTCAAACTTTCCAATATTGAGTAAGTGGATACACAAACGCTTGCTGGTTATTGTCTTCTATGTGACCTAATTCTTTTCAACAAGGGTGAGGCCAGGCGCGGTGGCTCATGCCTGTAATCCCAGCACTTTGGGAGGCCAAGGCAGGCTAATCACTTGAGGTCAGGAGTTCAAGACCAGCCTGGCCAACATGGTGAAACCCCATCTCTACTAAAAACACAAAAATCAGCTGGATGTGGTGGTGGGCATCTGGATTCCCAGCTACTCAGGAGGCTGAGGCAGGAAAATTGCTTGAACCTGGGAGGCGGAGGTTGCAGTGAGCCAAGATCGTGCCACTGCACTCCAGCCTGGGCAACACAGCAAGACTCTTGTCTCAAAAAAAAATTAATAATGATAAGGGTGACTGCTTAAGTCTGCAATCACTGTATACCTTTATAAGCCTTTTCATGTAAGTTAGCAAAGAAGAGGAAAAGATACCTCCTTCATCAGACATGTTTTTGTTTTTGGTTCAGAAAACTTGGTCAGTGGATTTATACAGAACTCTATGAAATAAGTCAGATTCTTAGAACATTAGAAGGCAAGAAGAACCTGAGCTTTCATCCAGTCCAACCTCCCATTTACAGAAGGGTAGCCTGGAACTCAGAGAGGCGGAGTCATGTCCAAGCTTTCATAATGAGCGGGGCGGGGCCGGGGGGTTGTGAGGGGGCCCAAGGAATCCTAAGAAAACAGGAGTTGGTCCCAGAACTTAGGTGAGATGACTAAGCTCTTAGTAGCATGTCCAATGTAGTGTCTGATGTTTTTATTTACTCTTTTAGCACCACACACAGAATTCTCATCTCCAGCCAGGTGCGGTGGCTCATGCCTGTCATCCCAGCACTTTAGGAGGCCGAGGTGGGCAGATCACTTGAGGTTAGGAGTTCGAGATCAGCCTAGTCAACATGGTGAAACCCCATCTCTACTAAAAATACAAAAATTAGCTGGGCATGGTGGTACGTGCCTGTAATCCCAGCTACTCAGGAGGCTGAGGCATGAGAATCGCTTGAGCCCGGTAGGCAGAGGTTGCAGTGAGCGGAGATCACTGCACTCCAGCCTGGGCGACAGAGTGAGACTCTCAGAAAAATAAAAATAAAAAAGAAATCTCATCTCCACATGACAGTGATTCCTAAGTGCGTGGCATCACGTATTTTTACAAGGATCTATTGCTTTTTTCCAAAGAAAAGAAATAGTAATGGAGAGGATGAAGTTTACTGAAAATACATTGAAAGACAATAAAGTCATGCATTTTGATTAAGGCCAGGTTTAGTCACCACCACCTGAGCTTCTGGAATCCAGTTGAGTGGTTGGGTTTCACCACTCAGGCCTTGCTGTCCACAGTCCTGCTGCCCAGGGCCTCTGCGGGTCTTCCTGCAGCCGCAGAGCAGAGCTCTGGGAAAGCAGCGGGACTACTTCCCTCCTTCTATTTTCCCTGCTGGGCTGTCCAGGCAAGGCCTCACCTTCCCAGCATGTGGGCAGGAGTTTGGGCTTTGGGGTGGGCTAGCAGGAGAGGAAGGTATGTGGGCGACAGCAGTGTGAGTGGCTTGTGTGTGCACCAGTCGGAGCCCTCCTGGCTCCCTGGATCTGGAACTGGAGCGGCACCGGGATCACTTCCAGGTCCCTTGCACTGGAGCGGTGGGCGGCAGCAGGGACCGGAGTCGGCCCGGCAGGGCCCACGTGGCCAACACACCGGTGCTCCAGTTCCAGTTAATGTTTCTATCTGGCCACCCCAGGCTGCTAGGGGAACCCTACCTGCCAAGACATCCAGGCCCTCTGCCGGGAGGCTGCATACTGGGCAGTGTTGGGAATGACTGGTTGGTAGGTGTGCCAGGAAGCTGGGCAATTCTGGCAGTGCAGGACACTTCCGGAGTGTGAGGAAAATTGCGTCGTTGGAACAAAGTGTTTCCTCACAGAGAAGCACAAAGTCCGCATCACCACAGAATCAAAGATGTCCCATTCAGCGCTGGAGCTATAACGTTCTCTCATGGGTTCTGATGGTTAATCTCATCAAGAATTAAGCTTGTTAAGGGTGGAGCCACCCCCACCCCTCTAGTCCGGGCGGGTGCTCAAGGACAGATAGGGCGGACCACCCCCACATCCCTTCACATAGGAAGAAGACTCACTTCTGCTTACGGCTCGCGTTTGCCCTCTTTTTGTTTCTGTGGAAGTCGCGCCTGCTCCAGGAAGAGCTGGATCATCCATTCATTCATTTATGCATGCATTCATTAAACAGGTATTCACTGACTGTACCTCAGACCTGGCTTTGGATACCAAGGAAGTTTTTCAAAAACCTCACAGGGCTTTGTGGCTATAAAGATATCTATGTAAGGATTCTTGGGTTATCTGAGGCCCAGAGAAGGGAGGTAACTTGTCCAAGAGAACACAGCAAGTTGGGGGCAGGGCTGGGCCAGTGCTCTGAGCTCCTGCAACCCCACCCCTACCCACCCAGGACTAGATCTAGATCTACCCTCTCCTCTCTTTAACTCTTCATCGGCCACACTCCGGTCAGTCGAAATCCCCACCCTAGGGAGAGACATAACCTGTCTGGATTGTCCAAAATGGTAAAAAATGAAAAAATGAAAAAGAAAAAAAAAAGTGTCCCCAATTCAAGTCCAGTGCCTGCCTGGTGGGGGCATTCCAGCGTGGCCTGGGGTGAGTGGCAGTCCACCTCCAGAGGCATCCCCCGGGCGCTCCTAGGGACTCGAATTTCCCACGCGGCTTTTTGCCTTATGTATTCACTGTTAGACGTTTTCGGTCAAAGCATTTTGGGACTTCCGTAACTGTCAGAGCGCGCCAGGGAGCCGCCCTTAAAGATACCTAGTTACTGATGAATTCCATCCGGTAAAGTAGAGGGTAGTGGGCGGCTTGGGGGTTCAGGACCCGGCTCCCCTCACGCTCCTGGGTGAATCTCTGGCTTCACAGGGGAAACCACCTCCGCAGGACAGGACCCATCTAGTTACAGGACACCGGATGTTACAAAGACGAGGCTTCCAGCGTGGGGGCGTGGGGGAGGCTGCCAGCCGTGCCCCCAGCGTGCTGGCGACCCCCGGGACGCCCCTTCCCTCCCGCGCCTCTGCTCCCTCGCTGGTGGGAGCGGAGCTGCACCGGGATCTCTTCCAGGTCCCTTAGCACTGGAGCGGCGGGCGACAGCACGGTCGAGTCGGCCCGGCGGGGCCCACGTGGCCAGCACACCGGTGCTCCGCTCGCGATTTCCCTTTTCCGCTCTCGGGCACGAGGCACTGAAGGCCAGGTGGAAGCACAGCTGTGCAGGGACAGTCTCCGCCATTCAGCGGCCGCGGGCCGGGGCCTGCGGCGTCGTGCGCGTGCGCGGACCAGTTCCAGGCGGGCGGACCGCCGCAGGGCGGGGCGGGGCGAGGCCGCCGCAGGGTGGGGAGGGCGGGGCGCGAGGCCGGGGGCGGGGGCCACGCGTGGGGCGGGCGGTGCTCGGCTCCGCTGACGTCGGCCCGCCAGCGCCCCACCAGCTCCTCGCGGGCCTGGGTTGGCCACCGCCGAGCCCCCGCCCCTCCCTCGGCGGCGTCCCGGCCGGAACCGATCGTGGCTGGTTTGAGCTGGTGCGTCTCCATGGCGACCCGCCGGCGCTATAAGTAGGGAGCTGCGCGCCGTGTGGCTTTGTCAGTCCCTCCTGTAGCCGCCGCCGCCGCCGCCCGCCGCCCCTGTGCCAGCAGCTCCGGCGCCACCTCGGGCCGGCGTCTCCGGCGGGCGGGAGCCAGGCGCTGACGGGCGCGGCGGGGGCGGCCGAGCGCTCCTGCGGCTGCGGCTCAGGCTCCGGCGTCTGCATTTCCCCATGGGGCTGGCCCGCGGCGCCCGGGCGCTCTGAGGTGAGGGACCGCCCGGCTGCGGAGGAAGGGAGGGAGCGAGGCGGGAGGCGGGAGCCGGGGCGGGCGGCGGGCGGCGGGCCCCGGGCACGTGTGCGGCGCGCCTCGCCGGCCTGCGGAGACACGTGGTCGCCGAGCGGGCCACGACCTTGGGGCGCCGCTTCCTCCCGGCCCGGGGATCTCCCGCGGCTGGATAGGGGTGACCCGGGCGCCGCGTCCTGCCCCCGTCTTCACAGCTCGGGGCTGGAGGGGCCTGGCGGAGACCCTCCCAGGGATTCTGCGTCTCCGCGCCGTCCTCCTTTCCCAACCCGTCGGCGGCCGCGCGCGGGCCGGGGAGCCGTTGAGGAGGCCCTGGCGGGCGCGCAGCAGGTGCAGGGGCGCAGAGCCCGGACTCGCCTCGGTACAGACGAGCGGGGCCCCGGCCTTGGCGCCTTCAGTTTCCTTCCAGTTTTTATTTTCGCTGTGTCTACAGAGCAGATGACACCAATTTGGAAACCCGCGAGTGTGGGTAGAGCTAAGATTGTCTTGTAGTAGCTGTGATATTAGCTGCTCGGCCAGCCATGACTTAGAGGTGTTTATTTAAGGACTCTGAATGACTCGGTGATCTCGGAAAAGCTTGGCTCAGATGAACGGACGTACACAGGGGAGCCAGCCCTAAGGTTTTCAGAAAAGGCTGATTGTGCTGTTTGCGAACCCGAAATAATTGGTGAAAGTGTAGAAGGCAGAACCTCTCAGGAATGTCTGGGGAGGACAAAGAATGTGTTGGCTGACTTTGTTTAAACATAAAATTGGGCAGACTTTAATTGATTTGTGAACATTTTTTGAAAGTTTGTTTGAATTAGCCGCTCTCTCTTCTAACATTACCGTCTTGTGCTAATTGATTCGCCATTTTAAATAGCTGTTACAGAAAGACCAAAAGGTGCTCTTCAGTAAAATATATTCAAGTAAGTTACTTAAGTAACGCTTTAAAAGATACAGAAAAAGCAAAAAAGTGTTGGCATATTAAAAAGAAATCGAAACTTTCCAAGTTTAGGCCTGAACATTGCCTTAAAAATATGTAACAAGGCCTTAAATGACCCCGTCCGTGTCTGCGTAAGCCTATTTATTATTAAATTGTAAATATTCTTTATATAAACAATATATAACCATTTCTATAACAAAAATGGTTTTGCTAGCGTTGTTACTCTCTTGCCTTCTCCGAGGGGTGATTTAGGCAACTTCCGAGGTTGACACTGCCGAGTAGTCACAATAGATAGAGCTTTAAAGCAAATTCCATGCATGGGTTTGGATTTATGACAGGCCCGTCCCCCTGGGCCTGTCATAGTACCCCATGCCAGAGCAAACTGTCCCCGAACCATTGCCTGGCCTCTGTGCCTGTAGGCTGCTGGCACTGAAGTGGGTTGCACAGTGGAAAAGAAGAAAGCTCTACCTGCAGAAATTTTTAAAGGTTAAAATAAATAATTTTAAGAAAACTGGTTCACCAGTGTGTCACATTTGATGAAATCAAAATACAGTGGCTTTTATTGTTACTAGCGTGATGTTCTTGCTTATTTTTCTTATTGGTGAAGTTAGCCCCAAATTATTCTCATAGCTAAGCAAATATGAGAGTGCCTGTAAGAACAGTTGGCATTCCGGAATTGCTAAACTTGGTAGGCAACGCTGGTTTCAGAATACTGAGTTCTAGCCGGGCGCGGTGGCTCACGCCTGTCATCTCAACACTTTGGGAGGCTGAGGCAGGCAGATCACCTGAGGTCGGGAGTTCAAGACCAGCCTGACTAACATGGAGAAACCCCGTTTCTACTAAAAATACAAAATTAGCCGAGCCCCGGGTGTGGTGGCGCATGCCGGTAATCCTACCTACTCGGGAGACTGAGGCAGGAGAATCGCTTGAACCTGGGAGGCGGAGGTTGAGGTGAGCCGGGATCACACCATTGAACTCCAGCCTGGGCAACAAGAGCAAAACTCCGTCTCAAAAAAAAATTTTTTTAATTTAAAAATTTTAAAAAAACTGAATTCTAATTAGGTAACAGCAACTGTAATACAATGTGATAAATTGACTTGAGGATTACAGTTTTTAAGAAGTATATACCCAGCTAATACCTGAAAATTAACTTGTAAAATCTCAAATGCTCCAGACATTTCCATGATGCCTGTTGGTCAGTAAAAATCATTCTAAGACTTAGTGGAAGTAGGAAATAGCAAGATGTTTGTATGGCTGTATATAAAGGCTATAATGTAATCTCATCACTTTGGAAGACCCAGGTGGGTGGATCACCTGAGGTTAGGAGTTCAAGACCAGCCTGGACAACGTGGTGAAACCCTGTCTGTACTAAAAAACAGAAAAATTTGTGGGATGTGGTGGCAGGCGCCTGTAATCCTGGCTACTCAGGAGGCTGAGGCAGGAGAATCGCTTCAACCTGGGAGGCAAAGGTTGCAGTGAGCGAAGATTGCACCACTGTATTCCAGCCTGGGTGACAGCGTGAGACTCCGTCTCAAAAAAAAAAAAAAAAAAAAAAAAGTCTATAATGCTATTTTAAGTTTCTAAAGAACTGAAACTGCTCTGAAATAAAGCAGACCATTATAAAACTTTTTCCATATCAGTGAGCTAAGTGCAGATAAGCTTCTGAAACTTGCGTTCTACTTTTTTTTGGTACAAATATTTGAAATGCTTAGTGTGCTGCCTTGGCAAAACCTGGTATTGAATTTGTGGTGTCCTTATACTGCCAAGGTTTATGAAATCATGTGCCTTATACCTAGTAATAATTGGGATCACCAGGCTAGTGAGTGATTTATATCCGGGGTATGATTAGCTCTGCGTGTGCTCGGCCAGTGCCCCATCTTCAACTTGATGTGTTCCTAAGGTAGACAGCAAATTCCCTGTTTTATTTCACAGATTGTCACTGCTGCTCCAAGGGCACACGCAGAGGGATTTGGAATTCCTGGAGAGTTGCCTTTGTGAGAAGCTGGAAATATTTCTTTGAATTCCATCTCTTAGTTTTCCATGTAAGTGTTCAGTTTACATTTGGGTTGCAGGTTAATCTTAAGAATTGTATTGCTAAGGCTTCTGAGTGAATTTCTCCACTCTATTTGCATTTTGTTGCATTTCAGAGGAACATCAAGAAATCATGAACAACTTTGGTAATGAAGAATTTGACTGCCACTTCCTCGATGAAGGTTTTACTGCCAAGGACATTCTGGACCAAAAAATTAATGAAGTTTCTTTTTCTGTAAGTATATGAGACCCATGCTGGCAGTGCAGCTGAGAATGCCAGGCAAGTGGAAAACTTTGGCAAGGTCTGAGGAAGAGCAGTGAGGCTTCTGTGTCTTGTTACGGAATGTAGAAATTAATTTACTGGTGGTAAATTAATAGTGATAATGGTGATATTCATATCAGTGGCTAGACTCAAAAGAGCAGGATTCATTGTGACTGATGGGAAAGAAGGTCGATGGCTGTTGGTGTGGTGTGTGGTGAGACTGCTAGTGAGTCACCTGTGACCACTCTTGTTTCAGGATGATAAGGATGCCTTCTATGTGGCAGACCTGGGAGACATTCTAAAGAAACATCTGAGGTGGTTAAAAGCTCTCCCTCGTGTCACCCCCTTTTATGCAGTCAAATGTAATGATAGCAAAGCCATCGTGAAGACCCTTGCTGCTGTCGGGACAGGATTTGACTGTGCTAGCAAGGTAAGTAATAGCAGCAGGACTCAAAAGCAGTTGTATAAAACGGTCCTGGTATTCCCCACAGGGCAGATACAAGTTGTGTGTTTTGGGCAATAAATGCTCACTAAAGGCAGGTGGGTGGGGGTGGGGCGGGGCACATCACAACTTCCTATGCTTTTCTGTTTATTTCACCTGTTAAGCCACATATGGACAGCACGACACCACTCTTGTTTTTCAGACTGAAATACAGTTGGTGCAGAATCTGGGGGTGCCTCCAGAGAGGATTATCTATGCAAATCCTTGTAAACAAGTATCTCAAATTAAGTATGCTGCTAATAATGGAGTCCAGATGATGACTTTTGATAGTGAAGTTGAGTTGATGAAAGTTACCAGAGCACATCCAAAAGCAAAGTGAGTTATTCCCCCATCTGAGGGCAAGATCAGGGGCATCAGATACGTGGATTTTTATCAAACAAACTTAATTTTCTGATGATTATATTTCTGTACTTTAGTAGAAAGTTGAAACTCTCCTTGAGTCATGAAGCCTGGGACTCAAACTACAGAATATATCAGCGACAGGTTTAGAACAGGGTTGTTTTTATTTTAATCGTGGCTGTAAGTGAACATCTATCATGAGACATTTGCTGCACTTTCCTTGCTTGTAGGTTGGTTTTGCGGATTGCCACTGATGATTCCAAAGCAGTCTGTCGTCTCAGTGTTAAATTCGGTGCCACGCTCAGAAATAGCAGGCTCCTTTTGGAACGGGCAAAAGAGCTGAATATCGATGTCGTTGGTGTCAGGTGAGATCTTGGTGGGATAGCTGAAGGTCATTAAACAGTTTGAGGTTTACAGCCTTTCTCCTAGTGTTTGCTATTGTTTTAAGAAATACTAAGACACAGTGTCTTGTCTCTATTTTACCCCCAGCTTCCATGTAGGAAGCGGCTGTACCGATCCTGAGACCTTCGTGCAGGCAATCTCTGATGCCCGCTGTGTTTTTGACATGGGGGTGAGTATACGTGACCCTGTTAGCAAAGGGCGGGGCACAACTGACAATAACTAGTCTTAATTCTAGAGCTAACTTTTTCTGGCAGTTGGTCCTGTGTTACATGGGTTTCAGCCTATCTGCTGCATACGTTTTTGTTGTTTATTAGCTGTGGATCTAACTGACTGATTTTCTTGATTCTAGGCTGAGGTTGGTTTCAGCATGTATCTCCTTGATATTGGCGGTGGCTTTCCTGGATCTGAGGATGTGAAGCTTAAATTTGAAGAGGTAATTTAGAACAAAACTAATACGCAGTAGCTGTTTTAATAAATTCCTTTTTGGAATATTTCAAAATTTAAGTGTCTAAACTAGTACCAAAATGGGCTGAAGTGTCTTGGTGTGATACTTTGAGTGATTTCTTTGTGATGTCTATTGCACTTGATATCATTTGGTTTTCTAAAGTGTGAGTCAGCTTTCCCAGAAGTCTTGGATCATTAGTTACTTTGGAAATCATGGCTCACACCTGTAATCCAGCACTTGGGGAGGCTGAGGTGGTAGGATCACTTGAGCCCCAGGAGTTTGAGACCAGTCTGGGCAACACAGTGAGACCCCATCTCTACAAAAAAATTTAAAATTAGCCAGGTGTGGTGGTGGATACCTGTAATCCCAGCTACTTGGAAGGCTGAGGTGGGAGGATCACTTGAGCCCAGGAGGTTGAGGCTGCAGTGAGCCATCATCATGCCACTGCTCTCAGCCTGGGCTACAGAGTGAGACCCTGTCTCCAAAAAAAGAAAAAACATGTTGCTGTGGGCTTCCTAGAGAATATGCTAATAGTGGCACATCATCACCCCAAATGTGCTTTGCTCGATCTGTGCTTCCTCTCCTGAAAATATTTGAAATGTTTAGTCACTTAGGAAGTTAAGCCATTATATTGGTGCTTGAATTTATAAAATACATCCACGTGGTTTGTTAAAATAATGACGTAGGCAGAATAGGATATTTATCCTGTTGGCATGTATTTGTTAAATAAGAATGTTTTGACGTCTTGATGCCTTCCTAGGTAGTAATTTGTTATGTACTGTTCTTTGATAAAATCATACCCATAACATCCTAAAGGAGACAGGGCGCCTGGAGGGGAATGAAAGTGAGCCACCTGGGATGTGCAGCCTGGTTTGCAGGGAGATGTTGATGATGTTTTGCTTTTGTTACTTAATGATAAACTTGTCTGCTGAGGTCTGGTCTCATGATGTCATGTCACAAGGCCCTGTGATGTTCCTTCCCTGTGTGAATTCTCCACAATGAAGGCTGCTCTTTCTTTCCTGTTTCGCTTTCTTAGATCACCAACGTAATCAACCCAGCGCTGGACAAATATTTTCCGGCAGACTCTGGAGTGAGAATCATAGCTGAGCCCGGCAGATACTATGTTGCATCAGCTTTCACACTTGCGGTTAATATCATCGCCAAGAAAATTGTATTAAAGGAACAGACTGGCTCTGATGGTATGTGTAAAGGACAAATCACTTCATGTATAACTGAAAGCTGATGCAAAAAGTCATTAAGATTGTTGATCTGCCTTTCTAGATGAGGATGAGTCGAGTGAACAGACCTTTATGTATTATGTGAATGATGGCGTCTATGGATCATTTAATTGCATACTGTATGATCACGCACATGTAAAGCCCCTTCTGCAAAAGGTAATTTCTGAGCATACTGTAGAAAACAATTAAGAGGACTGGTCACAACCAGTATAATTAAGTAGTACTTCCTCTCTCTCTCTCTCTTTGTATAGAGACCTAAACCAGATGAGAAGTATTATTCATCCAGCATATGGGGACCAACATGTGATGGCCTTGATCGGATTGTTGAGCGCTGTGACCTGCCCGAAATGCATGTGGGTGATTGGATGCTCTTTGAAAACATGGGTGCTTACACTGTTGCTGCTGCCTCTACGTTCAATGGCTTCCAGAGGCCGACGATCTACTATGTGATGTCAGGGCCTGCGTGGTAAGTCAGCCATGCGTGTGGGTGGTGCTGCCAAGAATAGGCACCTTCTTGAATATGTGCTTCTTGTTTAGACGAATAAGAAATTGTCTTGCCTGAGATTAAATACAAATGGATATTTTTCCTAAGAAAAGTTTTAGAAAAGACTGATGAGGATATTTCTGTGTAACTGGAATATATTTAAGTTTGTGCCCTGTGTCTTGTGGTTTCCTTATTACCAAAAAGGTGACTGAAGAAACGCTTGCTTTAGAAATACGTTGAATTGGCCGGGTATGGTGGCTTACACCTGAAATCACAACACTTTGGGAGGCCAAGGCAGGAGGATCACTTGAGCCCAGCAGTTCGAGACCCTGTCTCTACAAAGAATTAAAAAACTAGTTGGCCATGGTAGTGGGTGCCTTGTAGTCCCAGCTACTTGGGAGGCTAAGGTGAGAGGATTGCTTGAGCGTGGGAGGTTGAGGCTGCAGTGAGCTATGACAGCACCATTGTATTCCAGCCTGGGTACCAGAGAAAGACCTTGTCTCAGAAAAAAAAAAATACATTGAATTGTTTCCTGATGGGAAGTAAATACTGTCATGCCCAGTTAGGAGTGTGAGGCAGGGTTTTTAATATTCCACTTTTCCTCTCTCAGGCAACTCATGCAGCAATTCCAGAACCCCGACTTTCCACCCGAAGTAGAGGAACAGGACGCCAGCACCCTGCCTGTGTCTTGTGCCTGGGAGAGTGGGATGAAACGCCACCCAGCAGCCTGTGCTTCAGCTGGTATTAATGTGTAGATATCACTCTGGTAGCTGTTAACTGCAAGTTTAGCTTGAATTAAGGGATTTGGGGGGACCATGTAACTTAATTACTGCTAGTTTTGAAATGTCTTTGTAAGAGTAGGGTCGGCACGATGCAGCCATATGGAAGGCTAGGATATGGGTCACACTTATCTGTGTTCCTATGGAAACTATTTGAATATTTGTTTTATATGGATTTTTATTCACTCCTCAGACATGCTACTCAAGAGTGCCCCTCAGCTGCTGAACAAGCGTTTGTAGCTTGTACAATGGCAGAATGGGCCAAAAGCTTAGTGTTGTGACCTGTTTTTAAAATAAAGTATCTTGAAATAATTAGGCATTGGGACGTTTTTACAGCGTGTTCATTCCAGACAGTTCGTGAGTCCCGTATAGCTCGTTCTGATTCTCAGAGAACAATGGGTCCACACACACACAGGTAGGAGGACAGGTGAGACGGAAGTCCCGTCCTCCAGTGTGGACAGTGCACATCTGCTCAGCCCACCCCACATGTCCAGAGTTGGCCGTGAACTCCGTGTGCAGAGGCCCTGGTGGTGGGACCTACTTAAGTCTGATAGACCTGGCCTGCAGAGACCATCCATGTCGCCTCCCACCTTCACGCCCGTGAGAGCTTAGGAATGTATATAGCACAACATTTGGCAGTCAGCTTATTTTAATAAATTCAGCAACAGCAAGTCCCCACCATGTTGTGTATCTTCACTGTCTTGTCTGACCATATCCACTGGCCTTGTGTGTTCTTTTACTCAATGTGTACCCCCGCTCTCCCCCAAAACATGGCAGGCTCTCATGCTCCGTAACCCCCACTGTGGCGATGTCTTATGGGTAACGCTGGAGCTGCAGGAGGAGGGAAGGACACATCAGAGCCACCAGGCAGTGGGAGCATCCTGGAGTCCCCACCAGCCTCATGAGGGGAACAGGAAGAGAGCGAATGTGTAGGGGGGAAGGCTGTGGCTCCTCCCAGGGTGGAAGGCCAAGCTTGATGTTGTTACACATTTACCAAAGCTGAAGAGAGTGACTTCCTGCCTGTCTCAAAAGCACCACCTTCCCCTGAGCCCTGAGTCCGGAGAAGTCAGGAGCCCTCCTGTGCTGTAGTCACCTCGTGTGGCTGCCAAGTTAGCCCAGGGCTTGGCTTATCACCAACTCTGGTCTCCCTGGGCCAGAGTTGCCAAAACATGGAAGATTTTTCAGGAGCCACAGAGGTTGGTTCTGACTGGAGGGGGAAGGCGGGAAGGAGCGCTGTAGTCCACAGCCCTGCCTTCCAGGAGCCTGAGAAGTAGGATGCTGGTGTGTTTGGGTAACTGAGCTTTCCCAGCAAGGGCAGTTCCCTGGGATCCGGGACCCACTATGTTAAAAATACGACAGTCGGCACTGAGTGTGTACTGTGTGCCAAGAAATTTGAGCTAGACATCAAGCCTAGACTCTTGGTACATTAGGTCTTCCATCTTAAAAAGGAAGAAATTCCCAAGGTCGCTTAGTGGCAGTGCTGAGCTTAGACTGAAAAGAGGGGTATTCCATTCAAAGTGGACTAAGGCTTTGGAAACAATGCTCTTTCAGCCAGTTAGGTGAAATGCAATCCAACAACTGTCAATAGTGCCAGTGGGGACAGAAACAGCCCCAGGTAATCACGTGCTACACGTGAGTGGCCCCTGAAGCCTCGCTCCTGACCACAGCTTGGCGCAGCCACTTACCAGGCCCCAACAAAGCCGGACTTGGGTCTGTGAAATGATGTGGCCAGGCTGGATCAAGTGATCTTCCTTGGCCCTTGTACATGGGAGCAGGCAGGCATATTTGGCAGGAGAGACCAGAGAATGAGGACAGCCAGACGGTAGCTGGGGCTGTGTCGACACCGGGCACTGTCCTCCAGGAGGCTTAAGTCCTACTTGAGTTTAGGTATCTCCACTTTATTATTAAAGATGGTGCTGTCTGGTCGTGCACAGATACTGGACCTTTCTAGACTTGTGACTTGAAGTGAATACAGCTCCACCAAGACCACTTGTGAATTTCCTCCTGGTACGCCAGCCCCCACGAGAGGGGATTCAGGGGAACTGAGCTATTGGGCAAAGGTAAAGGCAGCCAGAGTACCTTGGAATCACTTGGGGCATTTCTTAAAAATACTGATTATTACCCCCTGACCACTTTCCCCAGACTCTGGGGGTGGGGTAGTGTTGGAAGACACAAAAGTATCCCCAGCTCCTACTCCCAAATACGTTCCAGATAGATGAAAGTTTTAAACGTAACAGACCATAAACCTACTGGAAACAAATTAAGGGGGACACAGGGCTACAATACCCATGAAAAGGGCTAATTTTCTTCATATTAAAAACTCTAACAAATCAATAAAGTAACTAATAGAAAGTGGGCAAGACATAAACCTGGCTCTCAGTGCAGTTTTTTTTTTTTATTGAGGTGGAGTCTCACTCTCGCCCAGGCTGGAGTGCAGTCGCACCATCTCAGCTCACTGCAACCTCTGCCTCTGGGGTTCAAATGATTCTTCTCCCTCAGCCGCCTGAGTAGCTAGGACTACAGGTGCATGCCACCACACTGGGCTAATTTTTTATTTGTAGTAGAGACAGGGTTTCACCATGTTGGCCAGGCTGGTCTTGAACTCCTGGTCTCAAGTGATCCACCCGTCTGCACCTCCCAAAATGCAGGGATTATAGGCATGAGCCACCACGCCCAGCTGATGGTAAACTTTTTGAACATGACATTTGTCAACCGAAGAAGACAAAACTATGAGAATCTATTTCTCACCTATCAGATTGGCAAAGATGAGAGTTCCCCAGCTCGTGGGGTGAGCAGGTGTGCTCATGCACTGGGCAGGAAAGTAAATTAGAGGAACAGTCTCTTTGGAGGGAACTTGACAATATCAATAATCCGCATTATAGGCCAGGCTCAGTGGCTCACACCTGTAATCCCAGCACTTTGGGAGGCCGAGGCAGGCAGATCATAAGGTCAGGAGATCAAGACCATCCTGACAGGTGAAACCTCTACTAAAAATACAAAAACAAAATTAGCCAGGTGTGGTGGCAGGTGCCTGTAGTCCCAGCTACTCGGGAGGCTGAGGCAGGAGAATGGCGTGAACCCGGGAGGTTGGAGCTGGCAGTGAACAGAGATTGTGCCTGTGCACTCCAGCCTGGGTGACAGTGAGACTCTGTCTCAAAAAAAAAAAAAAAAAAAATCCACATTGTCTTTGACCCAGCAGTTGTAAGAATTTCTCTGATGAAATACTCTTCTAAGGTTATTCATTGTGGCATCATTTGTAAACAATTTCTTGTATACAAGAAGGTGCTGATGAAATTGTCCATGGAACGGGATACACCGTGGTTAAGGAATGAGGCAGATTCATCAGTACTGATAAGGAACAAGCTCCAAGCTAGATTCAGTGACAATAGCAGAGCAAGGGACACTGTTGCATGCTATTATGTGTGTAAAAAGCAAAATCAAACCCCAACAAACTGTGTGTGTACATACATACATATGCACGGAATATTTCTGGAAGAGCTTGTGAGAGACGGGTAACAGAGGTTGCCTCTAGGCAGAAGAATCAGAGGCCTGGGCGGAGAGTGGGGACTGGCTCCACACTGCACTTTTGAAATGGGTATGTATTACTGACTTTACGAGGATTGTTAAATAGGCTTCCCATGTGAAGACATAAACTCAGAGATGAACTCAAGTCATGCAGATGGCGAGGCAACATTCAAGCCAGGTCAGATGATTCCAGCTTCATTCAGTGTTTCCCTACCCCGGGAACATGCTGTTAAGCATCTGGAGGGTGGCTTGGGCAGTGGACTGGCTCAGGGGGTCATGGTAGAGTTGCTCACGACTTGGTCCTCACCTTTGCAGGGTCCAGGAGGGCTGGCTCATGCCAACCCAGCTCATGAGGCCGATGAAGGCAGCAGACGCATCAGAAGCCAAGGATGGGAATATTCCTGGCGCATCAGCAGGTGGTCAACCCCTCCCTCCCCGACAGGGTCAGGGCCAGGCACTGCCCCTCACAGACAGCCTGCAGCAACCAAAGGCAGGCCAGAAGCCTGTGGGCAGAGCAAACCACGTGTGCCCCCTGCAACCCTCTCCAGCCCTGGCTGACGCCCACTTTGCACCTTCTTGTGAATGGGGCCTGCCGCTACCCAGGCTTCCCTCGGCTTGTCGTGTGAAGTCATGTGCTCCTCACACCCCCAACAGTGACCTCTTCGACTGGGACCACACATCTCTTTGCAGGTTCCCTCCTTACCAGATTTTCCTAAGTGACTTGAAGTGGCTGGCTAGCCCCTCGCTTAGGGGTTTTCTGGCTGTCACCCTGTACCCTCTTTGACATGGGCCCTCCCCCATGCTGGGTCTGGCTGGAGAACTGCCCCTCTCTGGGTCCGGCTGGAGAACTGCCCCTGAAGGCAAGACTCAACCCGTTTCATATCGGGTTCTGTCCCTACCAGGGAGTCCTGAGAAGCCTCAGTGCCTGGGGGTGAGGGGGGCAAGTGGGGCGAGTGGGGGGATCCGCCCTCTCCTTCACCCAGTCTCACCCATCAGGTTTCAAGGTAGGATGTCATGTGAAGAAAAGGTTTTGCTGAGTTCTCCCAGCTCTTGTTTTTCACAGATGGGATGAAGCCCAGAGAGGCCAAGTGACTCGTCTGAGGCGAGTCCGTGAGTTAGGAGGAGGGCCTGGGAGTCCTCGGGGCCCTGCCTCGCCAGCCAGGTTCTGCTCCTGGGTTCTTGCTGAACGATGACCATGACTAGAATGAGGCATCCTTTTCTCACCAAGGGCGACGTGCTCCCGGCCCTTGCTCTCTGCCAATCCTACTCCCTGCCAGGGTGGCAGAGGCAGCCCCGAGCACCCATGGCTCCGGAATACCACAGAGGGTGGCACCTGGCCCTGCATTCCTGCTGTGGCTTTGGCTTCGGCTGGAGCTGGACAGACACAGCCGGACCCGGACCCCACACCTCACTAGGCACTAGCCAGACCCAGGCCGCACGCCTCACTAGGCACCGGGGTCCCCACGGCCGCTGCCTCCTGAGTGGGGGTTGAGCTGGTGCTGCCCCTGGCAGGGCTGCTACAAGGGAGGATTGGTGACGGCCCAAATGCAGGGCACGCAGTGGAAGCGCTTCCGGAATTCTTGCTGCTGTTGGGAGTTAGGAGAATTTTATCCATGCGCAGCGCTGACTCCAGGCTGGAGAGGGCTGTGACCAGGCGTGCTCTGGCGCTGGCCGGGGGTTACCTAGGTGGAGCTCAGTCAGGTGACTTGTGGAGCTCAGGCCCATGAGCTTGTGAGCTAAGGAGGGGGGTCTCCAGGCGGGGCCAGCTCGGGGGCAGCTCTGCACGGGAGGAGGCCTGGTGCCCTGCTGGACGAGGGTCAGTCTGGGCCTGGGTGGCTCCGCCAGGAGGATCATACACCTGGTCCTGGGGGTGCCTGTCAGGAGGCCTGGCCCTTGCAGCTTCTCACCCACCCCAGAGCTGTGCAGGCTGCACTCCCTGGCTTCTCAAGGAGGGTTGCCAGATTCAGCACAAATATAACATACTGCATGGGAGATATGTCAGCTGCAAAATTCCTTCTCGTTGATCTGAAATTCAAGTGTAACTGGATGCTCTGTATTGTATCCGGCATTTCTATCTGGCAATAAGGCCTCTGGTCCTGGATACCGGGAGCCTGGCCTCAGCTTTTGTGTGCCGTTTGGCCCACCACAAGTCA